TTGTGTTCAAATTTTAAACCATTCATCATTTCTTAATTTCTTTTTTTTAAAGAATATTTTGTTATACAATTATGTTTGTGTTATTTACAAAATAACCCAAGGATGATGCATATCTCACGTTTTGTTTTGCTCAATTTGTTTATTTACAACAATTTTATGATTATATGTTAATCATTACCTGCCTGCCATAAAAAATGAGAACGATAATGTTTTCATGTTTAATGTGTCTGTTAGCAAAGTTTCTCATGAACCACAGAAGAGATTTTACTGAAACTCCCATGATGGTATCAGTGGATGGACAGCTACGACTGATTCATCTTTGGACTCAGTCCAGTTAAAGGTGACTGCCACAACCATAGGAAACACAAACATGACCATACTTCTGTCAGTTTTGCAGGTATTGGGATATAATTTGGTATTATAGAAGCTGAGTGATCCTTTGTAAACATGAGATCTTATTTTAAAGCTTTGGCATAAAAGACAACAGGAGACATGCATTACTTCAAGAAGGCTGGAATGGATTGGCGACAAAACATCTGGATTAGCATAATCTGCTTATCATGAAACACCAGAATTTAGATTAATCTTTTTTCTTGAAAGTCTGTTCTGGTTTGTTTCTGTGCTTTGAAGTGTTACACCTGCTGAAGTTTTCAGCTGGTGATCCACTTCAACCAGGCTGTGTGTCAGTCCTGAGGTCTAAAGAAGCTGTTTTACATCTTGCTGCAGCCTGAAAGTGAAGGGGGTGAAAAAAACAACAACAACAACTACAACAACGCCATGGCTTGTTTCTGCAGATGAACCCTGTGGTTCACATGTGTCTTGTGTGCACAGGGGAGCGTCTGCACGCAGCAGAGCTGCTTGCCTATGCAGAGCTGCACAGATGGGCGTGTTGGGGGATGGGTGCTGTCAGCGCTCAGATCAAGCTGCGGGTCGGCGATCCCATTGCTATTCAACACACAGGCACGCAGGGCATGTCAGACATCCTCCACGGAGACACGCTGGGCATCTTGTTTAGATTTTTGATGCTCTGAAACTGTTCCGTTGCTGCAAAGTGTGTGAAATATTCAGTTTTCTTTGTAACACAACTAGAAGGCGCTTAAAACTTAATATTTATCATAATTATTTGAGAACATTTTAATCAATGTTTTTTTTATATTTTTGTGCAGAGATGTGGATGCATGTTTGTCACATTGAGGCATTTTGTAAGGCCTATGTGGTTCAAAACTTAAATTTACTACAAACTTTATTGAGAAATGTATGATTTTGTAAGAATGCATCACTTTGAATGGGTTAAATCATGACGTGCAGTTTGGAAATGGTTGATTTGGAAAGTGACGTCGGAGGTGGCGCATCTCGTGAGCGCTCGGCTGCCTCTCGGGTATTTCCGGACGGTGGGTTAAATCCCCGCCCGCTTCGTTCTTTGCCTTGTTTGGGGACAGTAGGAAGATGGCGGCGGCCCCGCTGTACTGTGTCTGCCGGCAGCCCTACGATGTAAGCCGGTTTATGATCGAGTGCGACACCTGTAAGGACTGGTTTCACGGAAGGTACGTGGGTTAGGATGTCTTCAGTGGATATGGTTCGGCGAAGACGAGAAACACTGATGTTTACGGAGGAAAGGCGACGGTTCTCGGAGCGGTGTTGACTGGTGGCTAAGTTAGCTCGCTAGCGGTGGGCGACGGGGGTTTTAAACCGTCTATTGACGCGGCTTCACGAGCGAAAGTGGGGTTTTGTTTTCCTCTAACTCGCCTCTAAAATTATATTTTGCTCTACACATTAAATTAAATACACAACCTGTATTCCCTCTCTTTAACTGTTGTTATAGTTGAGTACATGTTTTATTAAATTAGTTTTGTGTGAAGGAGGCAGAGCTGTGTCAGTCACCCCGAAAGATCAAAAGCCTGAACGGGTGACATAAAGCTCGCTTATTTGTTGTTCTTTCAAAGTCATTTTTAAAAGTAAGTTTGATAAAACTTTCACTGTGCTTTAAAAATGTTAAGACCTAGATAAACGAGTCGCATTTTATCGATTTGAGTGCAACTTCTAATCTGTTCAAACTGATAGCAAACCGAAGGCAACACGAGTTGTGGCCACTTTTTTWAAGCTTAACTAAATTAGCTGTTTTTCATAAGCAACCATTGCTTGTTTGGTTATATTTTGTTGCCGAATTATTCCATGGTAGATTTGAGTTGTAATGAATGTGAAATTGTTCGTGACATCATCTTGTTAAATCGTGTTTGTAGTGGATAATGACAAGCTGAGAACAAGGAGCTTGTTATGATTGGGCTTTTGATTGACAGCTCGGGAAATTTAAATCCCTCTTTTAAGCAGTGGAGCCACATGGCAGGAGACCCCCTAGTGGCAGACGGAGGAATTTGTTTAAAGGTACCAAGCAGGCACATGGCCCATTTTTATTTTTAAATAACATTTTGTCCC